AAGAAGAAGAAGAAGAAGAAGAAGAAGAAGAAGAAGAAAAGCAACAACAACAACAACAACAACAACAACAACAACAAAAAGAAGTACAAGAACAAGAACGAAAAGAAAGAGAAGAAAAATAGGAAAAAGAGGGCTTGTCGTATAAATGTGGGTCCATAATGTGACTTTAACTCTATATTGGTCTGTCATGTTCTTATTTCTAAATGCATAATAGATTAATTAACAAATTTATTCTAGTAAATCGAATCAAACTGAGAAAACAAGTCACTTAATTGCTGACATTAATATTATGTCTTGATGAGCACTGATGAAAATTCTAAATTCAGTCAAGTTTAAAGGGACCCCCCCCCCCCCCACACACCTCTATTATCGATATGGAACGTGGGGGTGATGCACGGTGAGGATAATGCATTTCGACACGTGTTAAGACGGCCTGCTGAAACCGTAACGGCTACGTACATGGCTGGTTGGGCCAGGACACTTTCCCCCCAGCTGCAGGTGTCCGTTTCGGAAATTCTCAATTAAAACATAATATTTCTTTATTTTTTTCAAACCTCATGTTTATTGGGATAACGTATAATACTATTTACTATTCATTAAATACATTTTTTTTAAATTGAAAATTTTGCATGTAGTCGGTTTGGGAATAACACCGACGTTATGCAGTTGCTAGCGCCGTAAAACATCTACCCCCCCCCCAAAAAAAAAAGAAGAATATTGTAATTCTATAAAGATCTTTCTGTCTGCTGATGGAACAATGTTATTCTCTGAATATCGAGATAACGACTCAGGATAGAACAGATAGACATTTGGTCTTTGAGCACATGGTCATAAAAACTCAAAACGGCCAAAATGTCAGGTTATAGAAATTTGTTGTTCAATGGTAGCGCAGGTTCCAATGCAGCAGAGCCACTTTTAGCTTTTCGCGGACGAGATTTTGCGGATTTCTTTATAAATAATTGCAAATTTTTTAAAATCAAGTATCCCACGAAAAACAAAGCAAAAACAAAACAAAACAAAACTCG